CAGAGGCCCGGAGGCAAGGCTCTCAACCAAAACTCCGAAAACCTCTAAACGAGCACAACATGAACCATCACTGAGCACTCAATCGATGACGTCTAAGTCTTAAGGTCGGTCAAAAATGGGATGTCTACACCAGTATATTTAAATGCTCTTATATTGGGCTGTAGTTTATGTTTGTTTTGGGCCCAAACAATGGCCCCCTCGTTGAAGTTAAATATCATATGACTTGGACCCCCATGACCCCCTCTCTCTCTGATTGGTTTTTTTTTTTTTTTTCAATTTCTTATTTTTTTTCCTTCTCCAAACAACAGCCCCCACGTGTGTGTGTGTGGGGGGGGGTGGTGGTGATTGGGGGGGTCTCAATCACTTCCGCAATATTTAACTTGAACATGGGGGCCATTGTTTGCACCAAGTTTTGCCAGTCTCTGTCGACAGATGGTCCACTTAATCGAGGGCATGTGGCCAAGTCTGAAGGAATGTCCACGACCTGAAAGTGGGCTCTCTGCATGTGGGTCACCTAGAAGTGATAGGGGAAGTTTTTACCACCAGTCATGGAGTTAGTGGGCACACTTTCAGGAGGAAGCATAAGACAAAGCAGAAGCCTTGATCTGTCGACAGAAGTTTAAAACAGTTGGTGGCCATAAAATAAACACAAGAAAAGGGAGCTCGATAGATAGAAGTGGAGGTTTAGTATTGATATCCGTATACTGTTTTTGTGGCCCATCATTACATGATCCCACACGTCTACACCATAACTACCACTGTAATTGCCCCCTGACTTCGAATCTTCAAGTCCCCTGAAAACCAATATTGACTCTTCCCCGTCGACCTTCCTTTTCACCATTGTGGGGCATGTCCCTCATCATTATGAGTTAGTGGGCATACTTTCAGGAGGAAGCATAAGACAAAGCAGGAGCCTTGCTCTGTCGACAGAAGTTTCAAACAGTTGGTGGCCATGAAATAAACACAAGAAAAGGGAGATCGACAGATAGAAGTGGAGGTTTAGTATACTTGGAATGCCTAGAACGGAGATCGTTGGTTTCGATATCCGTATACTATTTTTGTGGCCCATCATTGCATGATCCCACACGTCTACACCACAACTGCGACTGTAACTACCCCCTGACTTCGAATCTTCAAGTCCACTCTGCCAAATATTGACTCTTCCCTGTCGACCTTCCTTTTCACCATTGTGGGGCATATCCCTCATCATTATGAGACAAAAATCGACAGAATATTGTCCACTAAACACAACCACAATCCTTGCAAACTGGGCCAATGAACCGCAACACTTGGCCACTCACTGTTACTGCCCCTGACTATGAATCATCAAACTCTGCCAAATATTGAATTTTCCCTGTAATTTAATCAAAATATATTCAATGTCGGTAAACTTGAAAATATGTTTGAAATAACCTTTTTCTGTATTGTAATGACTTAAACACAATTGTTGTCCTACATTTTACGTAACGAAAATACACAACTTATTTATATCAAAAACAAAATATACATCTCGGGTTTATAATAAAAAAAATGGGAACTACTTTTTTTTTAAAAAAAAAGTTCACTCATATTTTCAGCTACATTCTGATTGGATATTAGATTAAAAATTCCTCTTTGCACCTATTTTTCCCACATACTCCCAACAGCTGCTCCATTCAACTAACATTGAATCTTGCATGCCACTTGACTTACACGTTGGAGCAGTTACTGGCAGTGCTCATGGATTTAGTGGCCACCCTCCAAGAGGAAACATGAACGAATTGGGAGTCTGTATCTGTCGAGGAAAGGCTAAAAGGACCTGGGCACAGATGGCAACTTCAATTATATGCACTTCAACAGGTACAAGTGAAGCTTTTATGTGGTTTCAATACACGGAAATGACCGTGCAGTTACAGAAGTTGCACAGAAGCAGTTGTAGAATTGGCAGATCATGGGGTCGTGGGAATTTTATAGCTATAAAGGGCAGAATGTTTGCAGAGAGAGAGGACATGAACAACAACACAACTTACTTTCTACATTGTAACTTCTGTGTAGTTTTTTCCCTTCTACTTTCTACTTTGTTGCAAACAACACAACAACACAATAACTTACTTTCTACTTTCTACTTTCTACTTTGTTACTTTCTACTTTGTTACCATCAGTTCATCGAAAGAAGTCTTCATCCATTTCAGGCATTTGAACCGATACCACAATTGCTTGATTTTCTTCTTGAACTTGTCAACTTTAAATTACTGCTTCGTTGCTGTCGATATAGGCCCACCATAATTTTACTAACAATAAACCCATACTTCCATAGTAAACATTAAATAATTTCACAACTCCTGTTCGTAACTCGAAATTCATATACCAATCGGCATGGAGATAAAGTAACGAGTTCGTTGGGTTACTTTCTCCAAGTAACACCCAAAATTAACTGCCACTTGGATTATATACAAAATGCATGTGATGGAATGTAATTTTGCAAACCCACTTGGACAAAATTCGTATTTTACTCGAAATATAATACTAATTTACCGACATAAGTCATAACAAATCAATACGAAGCGAAACACATCGTTAGTTGATAAACCACACCGCAAAAAACCCTTCAGTTAGATCCAACCAAATATGGAACAGAAACAAGCAACCCGCAATAGGAATCTTGGAATACAGATATAAGCCAATTTCCCACCCAAAACAATACACAGACAACCCATATATATGTCACCTCATCTTCAATTAGTTTTGAAAATGACAAGTCACTGCAAACACAAATGACAACATCACTCTAAACAATATGGGAAATTTACAACTCGTGGCCTTGTACATAAGTAACGTTGTGCCATTTCCTGGCATTATACATAACCAATTATTTACACGTTACGTACAGCAATCCGTGCAAAATGAAAAACTACATACATTATTTCCATGTGTTTTCAATAGCTAGTACAGTCTACCTAATAAATTAAGGGAATAAGTAAATCATACAAATTATACAATTACCTTATTCACCTCATCAATTGTGTTCGAATCATTTTTCCACACTGCTGCTTCAACACTACCGTATTGGCCCACAGGCTGCTTGGAATCAGGAGAAACATCGAAAAATAGTCGCCGTTGCTTAATGTGCGGTGTACTTGGATCCACCAACCCAGTTTTGCAGCGAACGGGCAATGACTCCGCATTGTACTCACGGTCAGTTATGTGGGGTGTATCTGCATCTAAGTTAGTACCCACTGTTCGGCTAAACCGAACCTTAGGACACGTTCGCTTTGTGGTTGATTGCGAGGCATAGAAACACATTTCGTTGTAGGAAGAACACAATATCCCATACCGGGCCGTCTGTGTTGTAGTGCTATCAATTGAGGGTTGAGGCCATTGCTGGCCATCCTTGCTTGCAGCCCTTGTCCATCTATGCAGCACACAAGTTGGGGGAATTTGCGTTAAATTTTCAGCTTTCATAACACATATCATGTGGCAGCAAGGTAGCCCCAACGACTCAAACTTCATGCAAGAACATCTCATTGCAGCATCCATTGGACTGTGTGTTACTATCCATGATCTGTCCTTCACTCTGTACTTATGAATATAGTAGCATTTCTGACCATCCGGCAAAGGGAACACGTCCTTGACATTCAACTTCCCTTCTTCTAAGATTTCATCACGGAACATTCTAAATATATTTCGGGTGAATAGCTCAGCTCCATGTCTCTCTATATCTCGCAATGGAGTAATCAATACCGGAAAAGTGTTATTTGTTTCAGCATCATCTCCAGCCTCGTTATACCTTATCCTTGCAAGAGCCCGATCATAGTGCCTAACAAATTCATATAGCTTCAATTTGTGTTGGAGGAAGGGATTGAAATAAGCAGTCATACACTCCGAGCGCTGAGTGCTCTTCATCCCAGCAAAGAAATGTCCACGCATATATGCCTTAGTCCACATATGACGCTTCTCATATGTCTCCAACACCCAACTGTTGGTTTGAAGTCCAAATTTTTCGACCATTGTCGTCCAACCATGCTCAAACTTTGTCTCATCCGTTTCCATGTCCATGCACTGCTTGAAAGCATGTGCAAAGCCACTTATGTGAACATTTGAAACAGCATTTTTCCCAAGATGCCAATTACATAATCGATGTTTTGCGTCTGGAAATACTCTTCTGATTGCCTCTCGCATCGCCTTATCCCCATCTGTCAGTACGGACACAGGTGCTTTATTGCCCTTCGCCTCCATAAATGTTTCCAAAACCCTTGTGTATGTCTCAATTGTCTCATTTGCTAGCAAAACACATGCAAATATCGTGGTCCTAAAGTGGCTAGTCACACTAGCCAACATGACAAAAGGTTTCTTGTATGCATTGGTTCTGTAAGTTGAGTCAAATATCAACACATCACCAAACTTTGCGTAGTCGGCCCACGATTTCGAATCTGCCCAAAACAGATTTTGTAACTTGTTATCGTTACACACATCATACTTGTAAAAAAAACGTGCATCAACATCAAGTTTTGCGCATAGGTAAACCAACGCACCCTGCGCATCACCATCCTCAACTTCTGCTCTACGTTCGGCTTGAATATGGTTGTGCAGATCCGTGCGGATGAAACCAACATTCTCATAAGACCCGGACTGATTTACCATATAGTCCATGATTTGGCTAGTCTTCACACCGACATTGCGCATAGCCATTGCTTGAGCTTTGTCAGCGCTGTTTAAACTGCGATGTGACCTTAGATACATCACACAGTGTTGTTCCACCAATTCATGGTTGTGGTCTGCGACGAAGTGAGTCACTACATACTTTCCCCCTTCACCAGCATCCGCATCGTACCGTATGCAAAATTGGGCTTTGCAACCTACTCTTGTTAGTGTCTTGGGAGCTCTACTCTTCTCAGCAACACGGTCCAAGTATTTTGGTAATCTCTGACCTTCCCTTGAACACAACCACAGCCTACTAACGACCTTTCCCTCTTTATTTGTGTTAAATCTGGATTTTCGTATACTAAATCCCTTGGCTTTAGCATACGCATTGTAGAAATCTTCTCCATCTTCGACCGAATCAAATTTCTGTTCCAGAATAGCACGTTCAACATCACCAACCATGTCATTACGATGAGCATCGTCAACCATTTCTTTTTTCACATTGGCTTCGCCATCTTCAACGTTCATATTGGTTGCTTCTTCATTGCTCGGACCAGCTTCGCAACCATGATCAAGTTCCGCCCGACTTTCATTCATCAAACGAATGTCATCTGCTTCATTTGGAATGTCATAATCATCACCTTCCCTTTTAACTTCCGTTGGGGCCATACTGCACATGACATTACTACAAACAATTACTTGATGATCGAAAATTGTTAACACAAACACAAACATGACATTTTCACACGGTTTACCTATTTGTGCAAACACAAACACTCGCTTGAGAAAGAGAAAGAGAAAGGTTAGCTGCCAATGGAGGGGTTTCCGTTGGAGCGAAGCGTAGAGCGGTTGAAGTTAGGATGGGGGTTTAGTTGAGGGAAAATAGCTGAAGTGAACGGGCCAGAGAGACAGAGAGAGGAGACAGAGAGAGGGAGACAGCTCCATACCTCATATCTAGTTCGAGAGAAGGGCTTCACTTCAGCAATGGAACCAACACAGCCTTGTAGTTACGTTGTTGTTGGAAATCGCCCGTTATACTGTTCCCTACAGAGCTTCGTCAATGGAACGAACCCAACATGGGCTTCTCCCTGTTAATGGAAATCAACAGTTACACTGACTCAACCTTACACAGAGAGGAGAACAGAGAGAGATAGAGACGAAATACAGAGAGTGAGTGAGATGCAATCATGCAAATACAAGCATTAACCGGTTGCCCCGGTTTCAACTTTTTCACGATTAAACAATTCAATGGTCTTGATCAATTATTGTAATCTAACGGCTAACAATTGGGTTGCATATGGTGTGCAACCTTAAGGGGGTTGCACACTTAAGCAGGACCCTAACATATATATATATATACAAACTAGAGTAGCAATAGTTAAATCCACAACAGTAGTTGGGTCCCAAAAGAACTAAACACACTTAGAATTGGCAACGAATTGAGATTGGAAGAAGAAGAAGAAGAAGAAGAAGAAGAAGAATAGCAGCAAAAGCAGTAACAGAGATAGGAAAAACCACTGCTAAGGCTACAAATGAACCAAACTATTCATGAACAAGCTCTGCTCGGCTCGTTAAGGGTTCGGCTCGTTTACACGAGTTCGAGAACCGAACCGAGCTCGAGCTCACATAAGCTCGGCTCGTTTATCTTTATTTAAATTATATAATAAATATATTATTTATATATTAAATAATATGAATAATATTTTTATTTAAATATTTTTATTTAAATAATATAAATAATATTAAAACAAAAATTATAGAGCCGAGCCGAACTCGAGCCCAGTTTTTTATCAAGCTGAACTCGAGCTCAATAAACGAGCTTGATAAGTAAACGAGCCGAGCTCGAGCTCAGCAAAGCTCTGCTCGGTTCGTTTGCAACCCTAATCACTGCGCAACACCACTGTCAGCGATGGTGTTGGACTGTGTAAAGCGGTGATTCTAGGAAGCCAAAGGAGGCGACTTCTCTGGTGAGTTTGTTGGAGGAATCGTTGACGCCATCGACATGGGATACAAAGATGTGGCCCGGGTGGACAGCGTTGATTCCATCGATAGCGCAGCTCATGAATTAGATTGAATTTTTTCTAGATTATGTGAATTTTCTCTTGATGTGGAAACTGTGTGAACTTTCTCTAGTTGTATGAATTTTCTCTGGAGTGTGTGAATTTTCTCTGGATATAGGAACCGTGTGAATTCTTTAGTTGTATGAATTTTCTCTAGATGTAGAAACTATGTGAATTTTCTTTGGCTGTATGAATTTTCTCTGCCTGTGATCACTATGTGAATCTTTTCTGGTTGTAGTCACTGTTTGTAATTTTGTGAATTTTCTCTAGCTGTGGTCACTGTATGAATTTTCTCTGACTATGGTCACCGTGTGAATTTTCTCAAACACTGTGGGATTGTGATGTGTCTAGAGAAATTTCAATGAAAATATTTAGAGAAATTCTAAACATGAATACATAAACACACGCAGAGAAATTCTAAAGAAATTTTGATTTGTCTAGAGAAATTCCAAATATGAACACACAAATACGCTTAGCGAAATTTCTCTAGTTTCCAAATTTTTCTAGATTGAAATTTCTTTGAAAAAATGTTAAGAGATCCCAACTACTATGAAAATATTAAATGTCCTTTATCCTATAAAATCTTAATACTAGGGACCTTAAATTTTTTTTTTCCACATAATTTTTTAAAGTATTTTCAGTTAAGTTGATATTTTAAAGTTTTGAAAATCAAACTAAATGTCAAATTATCATGTTCCTGTATAGATAATCATAAATGATGAACAATTATTATTTGAAGGACAATTCCGACTATTAAAAATTTAATGAAATTTGAAAGTTCAAAAAATCTTAATTAGGACTTGTTTGGGAAGTAATAGTTTTAGGCCAAGTTTAGCAAGTTGAAAAAAAGCCAAAAAGTTACTTAAAAAATTAAAAAGTTAAAAAGTTATCACTACTCACCAAAAGTCAAAAATTCCGGCTACACAACTCTCAATCCTAATTTTTCCTTACACACTAATTTATATAATTTTTTAATACACATTTTTTCATAAAAAGTCAAAAAGTTAACCCAAACATCCATATTTTTTTCTTAATTTTTTAATCCAAAAAGATAAAAAGTACACTTATTTAGGACATCTAAAAAGTTAAAAAGTTACTAAAAAAACCAAAAAGTCTATAATCTATACCAAAAAGTCAAAGATGATTTTTTCTCTTTACTTTTTGCATATTTTTTCGTAAAAGATTAAAAAATCATTCTAAACACATAAATTTTTTTACCTTATATTTTAACTAAAAAATTTAAAAATTGCTATCATGTTTCTAAATAAGACTTTAGTAGAATATAAATTTATAAATTAAAATTTGTGCATAAATGTCCCTAAATAAAATAACGTGTAAACAATGTAATGAAGATTCAAGGTCTCACTGGTCAAATGCCAACTCCTCTTGTTTACACCATACGCCGGTCAGCAGTGCTTAAACGCGCTTACGGCGCATACTATTTTCCCCATCTTATCAACCAAAAGTCCACTCCACATCTATCTTCTCCCTTGCATAACAAACCAATAGCTGCTCTTGAAAAAAAATAGTACATAGCATTATGTCAATACGTGGCCAATTATTATTGGTTTGTGACATTACTTATGTTGTAGGACTGTTATTGTACGCTTGTTGAAGGAAAATTGAGAACTTTCTAGTAATATTTTTACAAGTTTTGTTATTCTATAATAAATGGTTGACGCAATTTTGCGAAATATATTATTAAAAATTATTAGTTAAATTAATTATTGATAGTAATAAAAATAATTATTTATTATGTAATTAAAAATTTAAAGAGAAAAATTATATAGGGTAAATTATTAATACATACCACCTATGAAATTTGATTAAAATACGAATTACATTTATAATTTGAAAAATTATAAATACCTCATTATCAAAATTTTTTATTTAATAAAATTAGTTGAAAAATAAATTTCCTAGCTGTTTTTCAATATAATAAGAAAAATTATCTGAATTATTAGTTTAAACAAATTTCTGACATCATTAAAAATTATTAATTGAATTGATGATTTACATATTGTTTGAAAAGTGTTAAATAAGTATACTTTTTGACTTTTTATAAAAATATGTGTAAAAAAGTAGAGAAGTGATGTGATTAAAAAAATAAAAAAGTGTGCTATTATAATAGTTTGCAAACAATTTTTTATTAATAAAAAATACTATTTGTTATGAAATTAAAAATTTCAAGGGACGAGATGTAATTTTTAGAACCATAAGAGATAATTGGGCGAATTGTAATTTTTAGAACCATAAGAGATAATTTGTATTCTATGTAAACCTTAGGAATATATTTATAATTTACCTAAATATAATATTAAGAATCACATAAAACAATTGTTATTTTAAATAATTTTTTATAATATATTTTAGAATAAATTACAAATACACCTTTCAAATTTGCTTAAAATACAATTACCCTTGTGGCTTAGAAAATTATAAATATTCCTTATCATAATTTTTTATTTAACATAATTAATTGAAAAAATAAAATTACTAATTGCTCTCATATATAATAATAAAATTACTTGAATTATTATTTAAAATAAAATTTTGATATAATTTTATAATTTATTAATAAAATAGATTATTTGTTATGAAATTCAAAATTTTAAAAGGTAAAATGTAATTTTTAAAACTGTATAGGGCAATTCATATTTTAAGAAAATATTAGAAAATGTATTTGTAATCTATTCTATATTTTAAACAAATTATTTGTAATTTCTATATTTTTACAAGTTTTTTTTTAATTCTATAATCAATGGTTGACGCAAAGTGAATGCGCCCTTCCTTTTTCAATAAAAAAAAAAAAGAAAAAAAAAAAACAGAAGAAAAAAAGAAAAAAAAAAAAACAGAAGAATACCCCTTTTGCAAACCCGTGTTCCTTTTTCTCTCTCTCTCTCTATATCGCGATATATATAGACCGACTCTCTCTGTTTCTTTCTCTCTCTACTCTCGCTCTAGACTGGGGTGTGGCTGTTGTGGACAGGTACGACTTGGAAGATCCTGAATCGTTCTTGTGAGAATTCTCTCTCCGATTCGACAATTGCCGATTCGTTTCTGAACTGGGTTCGTCTCTTTCTACTTTTGAATTGGAGTTTGTTTGTGTGGGTTCTTGCGAGTGATATCATTATTTGTGGATTTAATTTTGTTTTTAGAAGCTCTAATTCTTGTGGAATTGTTGGGTTTTGTGACTAATTTGGGGTTTTCAAGCTTTGATTCTTACGATTTTTTCTGTTTACATTCATGAATTAGAGGTTTCTTTTGTTCATGTTCGTTACATTTCGATCAGTCCATTTTTTTTCTTTTCTTGTTTGGTCAATCTTTCGTGGGTTTTTCTTTGTTTCCTCAGCGGGCACATTTAGATGTACATGTTCTTGTTTTTCTTTCTCTATATATGTATGTGTGTGACTTTAAATCGGTGCTTTGGGCAGTTTTGTGACCAAGATCAAAGGTGGGTGGTGGGCTCAGGAGAAGGTGCAGACAATAGACAGATATGGCTAATAATGCGGCAGCTTGTGTTGAGAGGGCAACAAGTGACATGCTAATTGGTCCAGATTGGGCTATAAACATTGAACTATGTGATATAATAAACATGGATCCTGGGTATAGTTTCTTTTACTTAAACCAACTATGCTATGATTTTTATGAGATGCCTTAAGTATTATGTCTATTGGTGGCTCTGAAGTTTGACACCAAGTGAATGTATTCTTTGTTTTAGTGATTACTTTCAATTGTAATGGAAGTTTCAGACCTTCAAGACATGGGTAGTTTTTGTTGCATAGCTTTAGATTCCGCTAACACCCCGACTAAAATCTTCATGAGTCCTTAATGTAGGATAGCTTTAAGAAACTTGCACTATGGTCGCCCACAATTCGTTTTGTAGTGGATTTAGGTTTTCGGAAAGCTTGTAAGGTTTTTATATGAGAAGAGCAAGTTTTGGGATTGGTTTCCGAAGTGTGTGGTTGTTGGATATTTAGAATTTAGCTGCTGGAAAGGATTAGGGTTCATATCCAACAGCCCCATAACTAACGGCTAGGGATGGCAATTTGAAACCGGCCCGACGAGGATCCCGATCCTGACCCGGATTTAAGCGGTTTTTCCCCGAAAAATACCGCCGACGGGGAGAAGACGGTATCTGAAAATCAATCCCCGATTTATTTCGGGCCGAGGATGGTGATCAGTGTTTAAGCCCCGGCCTGATCCCCGGCCCCGTCCCCGAATTTTCCCGAAGTAAAATTACTTTTATACCCCTTATATATATATATATATATATAAAACCAAACCATGTATCACATATTTCAACTCTCTCACTCTTTCGTTTCAACTCTCTCTCTCTCTCTCTCTCGTTGTTCTCTCTGGCCTCGACCCCCCCTCTCTCTCACCGACGGCGACATCACCACCGCTGCTGGCCCCGACCCCCCCTCTCTCTCACTCTCTCTCTACCCTCTACTCTCTCTACCCTCTACTCTCTCTCCGTCTCCGCAGCACAGCCGCCACTGTCCGCGAAGCCGGCGTTGCTGTCTACCTCCGTCGACTCCGCCGTCCCTTCCACCTTCGTCGCTGCCCTCTCTCTTCCTGTCCGTTGAGTCACCGTCGTCGCCATTACACAGAGATCTCAGATCTGTAATTATACTATAGATCTGGGTAATTATCTATAGATCTGATTTCATTTATAATTTCTATAGATATGTATACATGTAAATTTCATTTATAATTTCTATCTATTGTAGAAAATAGGAAAATACTATAGATCTGTATGTGTTTTGTGTTTTGAATGTTGAAACAGATTTGGATTGGGGGAGTTTCGGGGTTGGGGAAACCCGATCCCCGTTGGGGGCGGGGATGGGGACAGTCATAGGTTCCCCATTGGGGCCGTGGCCGGGGACATTTTCACCGTCGAGGATCGGGGACGGGGAGGGTGATCCCCCGCCCCGCCCCGTCCCGTTGCCATTCCTACTAACGGCCAGGGGTAGGCTTGTCAAGCAATATAAAAGATCTTTTTTGTGAATCCTCTTTTTGCCCTGTAGTTTTTATAGTTGAGTTCAATTTTTCCATTGAGCTTCTTTGATGCATTTTGAACATGTTGGAACCCTTAGGGTGTTTTTAAAATAGTACTACAATACGGTACAAACTTATTTATCAAAAAAAATATTAATAAAATGTCATTCCGAGCCAAGTCTGCTGCATCAGATGGTCAGTTAGCTATCATATATTACACTGCAGAACAGCATCTGCTGTCTCTCCTAAAGTTTGTGCTGACTAAAAAGCATTCTACTGGTAGTCTTTGATTTCTTTGTAGTTGAGGTAATAATGCCATTGCCATGTATCTATTATAGATATAGTGTAATAAGTTGCTTGTTGCTTTGATAATTGTTTCAGATATGTTGAAAATTTGCTGCCTTAAGTCTGGAAATGACGTGTATTGCTCATCAATAAATTGCATCTCTAGATTATGCTGCTCCATTTTCTCTAAGAAGTGGGAGTTGTTTCCTGACTGAGGCAGACTTGGATTAAAAACTTTGTATTCCACTTATTTATTTATTATTAGAAATATTATTAGGATTCTGAAATAATTGGTTGTTTTAAATGATTTAGCATTGTTAAGCAGTTACTTATGTGATGTTATTCTGGGTCTTCTATGTTAGAAATAGATTTATGTTTTTTTCTTTTTGATTAAATTGTTTTAGATACATGCTTTTTAAATATTTGGATATTGTAACTTGTAAGTTCGCGTGTCTATTTTGTTTCTCCTTTGACCCCCTTTACTTTTTTTATGTAATAACTGCACGAAATGATTCTGTTATCTTTCTGTTATCGGTTTGGATTGAAATTGCTGGCAAGCAAAGGATACTTTGCATGTCTATTTTGTTTCCCCTTTGACCCATTAACTTTTTTAATGTAACAATTGCACTAAATGATTCTATTATCTTTTTGTTGTTAAATTGGATTGAAATTGCAGTCAAGCAAAGGATGCATTGAAGCTACTCAAGAAGCGTCTAGGGAGCAAAAGTCCTAAAATACAGCTGCTTGCTCTTTTTGTCAGTAATCAGTATTCTCTCTCTCTCATGGAAGTGGTCTTTGCCATGGTTATGTTTAATATCATGAATCTTACTGGCAATCAGTTAGGCATGATGTGGTATTTGATACTTATTTTATTTATTATATTTGATGGGTAAAGGATATCTGCTAGAGTCACAAAGGTGGCTACATCCCATGCACACATGACACATGCATTGACCAACAATGAAAAAAAAATTAACAAAACACAAACCTATAACCTCATTACTTTAAAAAACATAAATTAAAAAGCTTGAATTTCTGTTTGAGAAACAAAAATTAAAAAAAGAGGAGCTTACAAAGATGCACCTGCTGCTTTCCTTCAAAAGGCATCATCAAAGACAAAATGGCACCATCTGCTCTACCTATCTAACATTCCTACTGATATGACCCCCTTCCAAGTTCCAACTACTTCAGACCTCAGCCACTGATTTAGCACAACCTTTTGAATCCCAAACAAAGATGTACCAAAAGTAGTAACTGTTTCTTTCCAGCTACTGATCATTTCATCCACAATTGATTAATGGTGTCGTTAGCTTCTTTACACAGATTGTTAGTTAGCGAGAAGTTCTCCGTATCTTGCAGCAACATGGAATACTTTCATTTTACAACGTATTTCATGAAGTCGTATTGCATGGTGAAAGCGAAGGCTGAAAAGCTTTTTGTCTATCTTCATATATGCATTTTTTAACACCCAAGTTGAGACTTGCCGAGAATTTAACATAAACCTTGTCTCTGTATTATGACGATGCCCACCTTTGATCTTCTTTTTGGTTGAAATTAGGTATTCCTTTAATTAGTCCATGTTGAGGAATCACTAATCCATGTAGAAGCACCAGGCATGGGAACGCCTTTGCCATGTGTTGAGCTTCCAGTATCATTTTATGATCATGTTTCTTTGGCACATTACAAGCCATGTCTATGGTTGGGTTATGACAGTGTGCCACTTGCATGCTCTGTATTCATTTTCTTTCCACACTTCCTCCTTCATTGGAAGTAATATTTCATCTTTGGTTTATGGAGTCATAAACATTCATTTGTAACTCTTATATTATTATTATTTTTCGTAATGTGGGTTTTAGTGGTCTGTTAGGACTTTTATATATTTTGGTTAAAGTCAAAATTCATAGAATATGTTTCTTTATTATTAATCTAAAAAGTGTTTTCTCAAATATGTGTATTACATTGTATCATTAGTGCTTTTTAATGTTTTGTAGTGGTTCTTATTAGGTTTTTTTTTTTTAGTTTGAAAGTTGTTTAGTCTTATGCCATGTTGGAGGTGCTGTCATGGCTTCGGCTTTTGTAATTCTTGTCTCATTAACAAATCCTGGTGTGGGAAAAATATAATCTGTTCAAAGGTGATTTATTATTATTGTTATTACCTTGTGATGCAACTTGTGGCTTGAGCCAACATTGCTTGAAAAACTATTGTTTGATTTGAAACGATCCAATGAGCAAAATTCACAGCTTTGCTGTGAACCAAACTGATTTTTGACCGAACTCCATTGTTCAGTCTTCTGAATTCATGTTTTTTACTGTTTCAAGAAAAGTTGGTTTTAGCAACAACTCCACTTAGGAATTTTTGTTTTTGACGCTGCTTGTTCTGGCAAGTTTTTTCACTTTTAGTATCTAAATTTAATCTTAGCTTAAATTTCTACTTTCAGTAATTTTTCTGTTTTTCTTTATTTAATTTTTTTTTACTAAGGAAATTACTTAACTTCTTGTTTGCTAGTCATAATAGGAGTATTCTATTATCATAAATAAGGTTGTAAGCCTTAGGGCTCAATAGAATGTGTTTTTGATTATTAATAAAAATTAGGTGTGAGGGTTTTTCTTTCTATTCCAAACTCTTTGGTATTCTGCGGAATCAACAAAGGCGTTGATGCCTTCCCAATATTTGTGGTGAATCAACAGATCTAAAGAAGCTTTGGCATTCTATGTGAGAATCAATAGTTCAAGGAAGGTTTCATATTTTGGGTATTCTTAGACTAGACACAATATTAGTAACATGTTTTGTGTTGATCATGTTGCATCATTTCTGTATTGCACACTTCCTTGCGTCAGTTGGTATCAGAGCCCCTGCATCGCCTTGGGATGGTATATACATTGAGGCATCTTAGCTTTGATTTCAATAAAGAACTTTTCTTGCTTGTTTCGCATTACTTTGTGCTTGTGTTCAACTTTGTTGTAGTTGTTTAAGCTTCTACCGTGCCATCCATAGCTTAGAATTTGGTACACGACAGAAGTTTATTGCCTGAAATTGCCTGCTACTAATCTGTCTTCTAGCATCTGGTAAATCAGTTTTTTCATTCAGTGAGATTTTGAATATATTGTAGTTTGGTACTATATACGTAGGCTCCAGTTTATTAGCAATCTGTAGCAGGCTCTGCTCCTGATGAGCAAGTTGGCTTTAGCTATAGGCAAAATTAGAATTGTAAATCAGATTCGCAATCCTCTGTTCTCCATGTCTTGTGTAACTTGTGTTTGGTTTGACATCTCAGCATTTGAGTTATTCATGGGGCCACTTATTGTATGTATTGTTTGTTGTTACTCTTTAGGCACATTATTGCCCCACAGCAGTGTTTTATTTTGGAAGTTTCTGATTTAGGTATTGGAGACTCTCAGTAAAAACTGTGTGGAGACTATTTTCCAGCAAATTGTTGAGCGGGATATCTTACATGAAATGGTCAAAATTGTAAAGAAGAAGGTGCTGATTATCTTCTTTCATTTGATATCTCTTGTTTCTTTTTTCCATTGAGATACTTAAACATTGTCTAATTTAACCTTGTGATTCTCATTCTACAGCCTGATTTGAATATAAGGGAGAAGATATTAATTTTGATAGATACATGGCAAGAAGCATTGGGGGGACCAAGGGGAAGGTATCCCCAGTATTATGGCGCATATAATGAACTCAAGGTAGACGGTTAATCATTTCTTTATTTTGCCTATGTTGCACGAGGTTCATTGTCGGAACATATCTATTACCCTATATCTGGGCCTGCATTTTCATTTTCACTTTCACTTAAGTAATTGATGACACTTATTTGTGGTGACTTTCAAGTTATGAAAAGAAAATCACTCATTATATCTTCCTGATTGCAAGAACTTCTCTACTCTACCCAAGGAAGAAAGATATAAGCATGATGAAAATATGACTGGGTTTGAGTCTCTTCAGGAGCATGATCCCAGTCTTCACCCACTTCCTGCTTGGTAATTTCAATTTCAAAAAAAAGATGGATGCTTTTTTTGGGGTGTTGAAAAGATTTGTTTGTATTGTGATTTGAATTACAATTTTTCATTAATTTATGGTCTTTTGCACTTGTGGTATATTAGTCATTAAATTTATCGGAACTATTTGGACTATTCTTGGTCAAAATCGTGATTTCTCCAGGTTTCTGTTTCATGTTTGAAATTATTTCTTTAGCACCTCTAGAATTGATTGAACTCAATTAGTTAGCTATTATAATGCAATTGACAGGCTGCTGGAGTGGAATTTCCTCCAAAAGAAGAAAACAGTGTACCTTTATTTACTCCTCCACAGACCCAGCCGATAAGTCACCCTCCGATTAGTCACCCTGCTTCAGAATACCCTCCTCCTTCAGCATATGAGGAAGCTGCTGTGCAGGCGTCTCTCCAGTCTGATGCTTCTGGACTCAGGTATTATTACTTAAAAGTTGAATCTCATATCCCAGTCTATTTGTTTCCAGCACAGCAAGATGTGTTCTTCAACTTATTCTTGGATTTGTTTGGCTTCCAATTTTGTTTGCCTTTACAGATCCCATTATAGGACGCATGACTCTTTCTGTGAAATTTTTCTGTTCGTTTACAGATCCCATTATAGGACACATGCACTGAATAGCATTAGCATCTGATTCCAATCAATATCTTAGAATGATGAATGTATTTTGCAGAATGTTTGGAAGAAATTGCATGCAAATTGCAAATAAAAATAATCCAACATTCTGATTTTATCAGTCATATATGAAACCTAAACTTTTAAGAATTTATCAGCTTTTCAACAATCCATTTGCCTTAGAATTTTATTCGTTTTCATGTCAATTAGTTTTTAATGGTAATTATTTATCTTAGCATAGTTGCTCATATGGGAAACTATATGGAAAATGGAAACGTGAAATGTGGTCCAAAAATTTCACGGCAAATGGGAAATGCTAGGTGACACAAGATCAAATAGGATGTGTATAAGAAAATTTATCAAAGCAACAATCTAAAGCATTAGAATACTTTCACAATCAATTAAACACTAAGGCTAATCAATATTTAGAGATTTTTAAGAACAATTACATACATATTATTGTTAAAAAAAAGCTTTGGGAGCATGAAAAATTGTAAAAATTATGAGAAATGTTTTTAGGAAGTTTTTACAAATTTCCAAAAGTTTTGGACAAGTTTCTTCAAGTAGTGCTAGAGTTTCTGAAACATCTCGGAAATGTTTGTGGGCATGGACATGTACTGGGAATGCAGTTCATTAGTTTATGGGCATCTGTGTGCCCACATTCTATCGTAAATGTACATTTCATATAAGTAGATATGGAAGGATAATGGTTTCAAATGTCTGGCGACTGGTGGAATAATGTGCTTTGTCATCAAGCATACATTGATTGCAGAGTAGTGATTGGTCTTAATCATCTTGGCTCCTTTTCACCAACTAGCACAAGGCCCTGTAATATACAATTTATGCTAGCTTGCTAATTATTGCCACACATTTTTATGTTTTGCTAATCTGGTTGAGGTTCGATCTTTTTCCCTGATCTATTGACTCTTTCTTTACTCAGTGTGTAATGGGCAGATGGTTCCTTTTACAGTCCTTATATTTAGATTGTCTAAAGTTGTGCACTGGAATTCTGCTATTAGTCGATCAGCAATACTCACTTTGTCCAGCTATATGCCTTTTCTGTTCTGATTGATTTTGTCCCATTTTAGCCTTTTCTCCATGGCATGCATATCCATGAATTTCAAGATTTGTTTTTGGTTGCAGCTTGGAAGAGATGCAAAATGCTCAGGGACTAGCAGATGTGCTAATGGAGATGCTTGGTGCCTTGGATCCTCATAATCGTGAGGTCATAAACTTCCCTTTTTGGTAGATCATTCTCTTGTAGGAAACTGGAAATGAAGTCTCTTGCTTGTTTCTGGTAGAGAAACTCTAGACAAGTTACTTGGTTGTTCGTCTGGGAAAAACTTTTTTTTGTGACATTAAAAAATTTGTTTCAAGTACTCTGCAAACTGTTACCAGTGGGCTTGGTTCAGTTTCAACCAAGGATTTTGAAACACCCTTGCTTGTTTCTGGTAGAGAAACTCCTGGTTGTTCATCTGGGAAAAACTTATTTATGGAATTCAAAATTTGTTTCAAGTACTCTACGAACTTGTTATCTATGGACTGGTTTCTGTTTCAACCAAGGATTTTGGATTTCAAAATTGGATGCTAAACATTGTTGTCGTGCCAAATTTATCTTCTTCATTGAGGATGCAATCAGCCCTGGTTGGGATTTCTTTAAGTTACATATAGATTGGTTGCTGATAGATGATATGAAGAACTACCATAAAAATTGTTATATGCTATGAAGCACGGATACTCCAAAATAGGCCACGTATGCGTATCGGATACGTATCGGATACGGATACGCGCCCGATACGCGAGGATACGTATCGGATACGGGAAATAGAGTATCCGATTTTTTTTTTTGATTTGAACTCCCTTGACCCTCTAGAGAAACCAGTCCTCTTCCCCTTGTTTCTATTTTTATCCCCCAAATAGTTTTATGCAGAAAGAGAACTAGGGTAGTGGAATTATATATACTCGACAACCAGATTTTATATGATTTATTGAATCTTTGGTCATCCTTGGACCATAGTTTTTCAGTGAAACTGATATCTTAAAAATAGTGAAAAAATCACTTGCCAATAAACATTATTCACAAGTGTAAGGAGTAAGGACAAAGCATCTAATGATGGCAGTGTTTTAAAAAGCTCTAGGCGCATTGAAGTGCTAAGGTCTCCAGGCACCTAAGTGTGAGGCACAAGGCAAAGCGTGTGCCTCACCACTGAGAGGCGCAAGTTGTAGAAGATAAGCAAAATTTTAATATAGTATAAGCAAATATTTTTAGAATTTCAAACAACATAGCACATCATTTAATATTCCAAAAACCACAAAAATAACATTCTAACATTTCGAAATTTTTTCACTAATAATATTCAATTTTACTTTACCCAATACTATTTGTCTTCATCAACTTCTTGACATGATTCACTTAATTGTTTTAGATAAGGAACACACACCATATAGTATCATAGTGATTTTGATTTTAAACCGGGACCAAATTACCTGATAGCTTCAATCATTGGCCTCAAGTTGTCATAATTCACTATATTGAAAGGAATCCCAAAGTCAGATATCCATCTTGCTATCCCAAAGTTTTTGCTCAATGCCTAGGTTTTTTTTTTTAATTTTATATGTGGGGTTCAAAGCATGCGTTTACATTTTATATTAAAGGGGTTGTGATTCCCTGCGACTACACAAAGAATAAGGATGGAGCAAAAATTTAAAAGAAGCGCATGAGGCGTGCACCTTGTGTCTGAGCCTATGGCACGCGCCTTAAGTGCCTCAGACATGCCTTTCCTACAACACCTCGCCTTAAGCTATCTGAGGCGCCTCAGGTGCGCCTCGCACCCAAGCACGCACCTGACGGTCACCTAAAATTTGAAGAAAGTTGCTGAAGAGGGAATTCTAGGAAGAGGTTGAAGTTTGACTTGTTAGTGTGGCCTCTAATTGAGGTATAGAAATAATTTAAGTTCAGTTATTAGAAAAAAAGGTGTTTATTCATATATAGAACAAGGGATTAAAGATAGGAAACTAATACAATTGGATAGGAAAAGCATATATATAACCCTATATTTTTGCAGGTCAGGTCTGTAATGTAGTAGCGCCTGAATCCAGAATGTTCTTACTCTTTACTCAACGGGTTGAGGAACTTTCTATTAAGATCCCCTCATCCAATTGAAACGATTTATAAGATTTACATGTGATCAAATTTGAGTTCTGAACAATCCATAAATATTTTAATTTTCTTTTCGGTATAAGTAAATAGCAAGCAGATTTTGTTTTAATAAGAAATGTTATGCATTTTGTCTGAGTCTCACTTTTTTTTGTTATTCTGGTTTTCTTGGCAGGGACTTAAGGAAGAAGTGATTGTTGACCTTGTTGACCAGTGCCGTTCATACCAAAAGCGTGTCATGATTCTTGTGAACAATACTGTGTAAGTGTATATAGATATTGATAAGCAAGGATATGGTGACTTTGTGTTTTTGATTGGTTTAAATTGACAATTGCCGATGATGGTTGTTTTACTCTAGAGATGAAGTGCTTCTATTGAAGGGGTTGTCATTGAATGATGACTTGCAGCGGGTTCTTAGCCGGCATGATGATATTGCAAAAGGAACCCCTACTTTGGGAGTAGGAACACCTGAAAATTCAGTTACATCTCTTGTGAATGTGAATCACGAGGATGAGGAGTCAGAAGATGATTTTGGCCAGCTAGCACACAGGTACCTTCTACATATTGTTTCTGTCGAGCTCCTGAATTCGACTGCTTGTACCATATGCATATTTTGATTAACCATAAGTTGAATTTTAGCAGATGTGAAATAATATAGGCGATGAATGAAGATTTTTTTGGAACATGTTAAACCTGCGAGTCTGGCATTTCCTGTGATTGATTACTCATTTGAGGAATGTGGGAAGTTACGATTTGAAACTTGATTAGGGTGGAAACTGTGTGGTCTTTTTCCTTTGATTGATTACCATTATATTTGATTTATTGACTTGTATGGTCGAAACTGTTTGGCGTGATCTTTAAATTTCAAAGTTTTGCTAGTTAGGTTTTGTTGTTGTTATATTTTGATGTAGGAAGATAAATTCTGGAAGTATTTCATCTTATTTAGATGTACCTATATTGGATTTTCTTTTAGCCTGTCTCTTTGGATGTAGACTCATTTATTGGATATTATGGAATTTTAGTAAAACACAAGTAACTACATGGAAAATATCCAAGTTTGTAGCCTGTTGCAAGTTGATTTTAAATGTACTTGAGTCTGCATGTTTCTAAAAGCACATTCAGAAATGGTATGGCCTTCCATTATCCTGTTTCACGCACAAACTAACTTGGCATTAAGCAGCATTTCCACACATGGTCATAGAAACTATGTTCAAATAATTAAAAAAAAAAATTTACAACTTTTAAATTTTTATCCTTTTAACAGACTCTGCATTCACCAACATTGACAGGCTTATGCTTGTAGGACACTAGATTTTGAAGAATAGTATTATGCTTCTAGTGCATTTCCCTTTCCTTTGTTTAATTAAATTGTATTCTGGTCCTTTAATTAAATTGTATTCTGGTCCTTAATTCGTAAGTTTTAATTAATCATATCATTGCAGGTCATCAAGGGATACTTCACTGGGACAGGGACGGAAACCAGCCTATGCTAAGAACGAACCAGTGCGGGTCAACCCAATTCTACCTCCTCCACCCTCATTCAAGAAGCCAACTACAGATGCTGGGATGGTTGACTATCTAAGTGGCGATACCTATAATTCTGAAAGATCTTCTGGAAGATCAGGATCCACACCTTTTGCTGTGAGTCATTCAAACACAACAAACTCCATCCCATCATCAAGTCCAACACTACGGCCCTCCTCTCCTCCCTCTGATTTCATAAACCCCACTGCTCCCTCTGATTTCATAAACCCTACAGCATCAATGTTTGGGCAGCCCAAATATGATGATCAACAACCACCAATGACCAACCCTTCTGCTCCTTGGGAAGTTCAGGCTCCTCCAACCAGCATTCCACCCCCACCTTCCAAGTATAACCAGAGACAACAGTTCTTTGAGCAAAAGCAAGTTTTTCCGGGCGGTGCTTCTCAATCAAGTAGTGGGTCTGGTTCCTCTTACGACAGCTTGGTTGGGCACACCCAGAATCTCTCTCTTAATCGATCAACAACCCCAACCAAGCAAGAGAAACCAGAAGACGCACTCTTCAAAGATCTGGTTGATTTTGCAAAAGCCAAGTCTTCTTCGCCTTCCAAACCCAACAATAGGTCATTTTGAGTGGATGTGAAGTTTGGTATGGATTATTTGTGGTGTAATAGATTTGAGTATTGTTTCTAGTTCATTAGGTTTTGTACCATAAGACTTTCTTGAATAAATATGAGTGGAAACTTGGGTTATGACGGTTTGACAAGTCACATTTTAAAATTTGGGGACCTTGGGCTTCCCTACCACTATCGGCTGCTGGTGTAGCTGAGAGGAGATGAACTGCTTGTTGGATATATACGAGTTTGTGAATGTATAATACTGTTTTCTGGTATATATAACTTGTTTTGAATGGGTTTCCTCCATTTAGCCTTTTTCATAGGAATTGGGAACCATAGTTTTTACATGGCAAGTTGCTGCTTGGAGCTACCATGATAGAAAATTACATTGCAAATGAATTTTCTTTCTGAGTTCTTGCCTTGCCTTGCCTTGCCATGTTTATATACTTGTATTTGACTATTTGTGCCTATCTCTGTCTTGACTTTAAAAAGAATTTGGGGTTTGAATTTTAAGGTCATGATGAGTAGATGCTAGAGAACATGGCTGTTGTGCACCTGAACTGTTTTTTCATAGAAATTTTTGTTTCCACTTTTGGTTGAATAATATTGAAAATTACCTACAGCCTAGAAAGTAGTGACAGAACTGTTTTGTAACAAAACTGAAGAATTGCAATCATGCTTTGCTGCAATTAAAATGGAAATCAAACTCGGGGTCTGTTAAAGCTCAAATGCGGCAATATCTGTCTGTGCCTTCCATCACTTTCAGTCGAGAGAAAAGAAAATGCAGATATGTAAAAAGGATTTTCTTTTTGAAATTTCATAATTATTAGTTTATTTAAATACTGAATAAAATGTACAGGTATTCCATGCAGTTTGATACCAGTTCCATGAATAAATTATTCCAAATTCTAATATGATTACAGACTGGCTAACTACTTTTGTCCCGATGATACCTCGTTCTAAAGAGTCTTTGTTTTCATGTTTCAATTTTCTCGTGTCTTTTTTATCATATTTTGAAATTTTTTGATGTCAAGACTTCTACATATTTCAATGACTATGAGTGAATTAAAACATGAAGAGAGGAGACTTTGGAGACAGAAGCTCATTGTCTCTATCGCTGTTGTTGTTGTTGGAGAGAAGGAAACAAATAGCGAGCTTGAAATCGTGGAAGATGGAAGCAAATATTTGACGCTTAATGGTTCCTCGAACTGGAGGGACTGCTACTAATAAGCCTGTCTTGTTGGACTTGGAGTTGCCACCTCCATCACCATGTTCATGTTCATGTTGTGCCTTCTTTAATAACAGCCTCTCCACCTCAATATTCTTTCCCATATCTACAGAGAGAGAGAGAGAGGGAGAGAGAGAGAGGAATGAATTGGGTTGAATTGGATTACACTGAATGAAGAGGACTCACATATATATACATGGTGGCATGGGGGTGATTTGGAAATTTGCTTGGGGGGATTGGACTTGGGAGAGTGGGGTCATTTGGACATTTTCTAGCCATCTTCTAATGTTAATAATGTCAACTTTCATGAGCTGTAGGTCTTTCTTAGTGTCTAAGGCGCGTGCTTTGCTTATCTGCATCAAGTCACAGACACAGATTTTGTGGTTTAACAAAATTTTTCTCCTCTCCTCACTCCTATCCTGCAATCTTTTTTTTTTCCAGTTTTTGTAACTGCATTTCTAGGAAGCATCCTTTTATTGGTTAATTTCCCCAAATAAAAAAGTTGAGTTGCTTATATAATAATAATAATAACAACAACAATAATAATGAGCAATGCTATGGCTTAGTTTGACATAATCAAAAAAAGTTAAAAAGTCACTATGCTATTTAAGTCACGTCATCTCTTTACCATATCACTTCAAACCCAACCCATACCCAACTCATATTTAATAAAAAGTCAAAAAGTACACTTATTTAAGACACTACAAATAATTCAATTTCTTATCTCATTTTTTTCATTCCTAGACACAAAGTAATAAAGTCCACATCAATAAATACATGAGACCTATTTACTCGTGTCTAGGAGTGAATTAAAAAAAATAATAATGAAATTATATGTAACATTTTTTTTAATGATAATACTTATAACGAATTAACATATTAATAATTTTGATATGTGTTTTTCTTAACCAAACTTTAATTCCTGAAAGGCAAAGTAAGTATGGAAGGTTGGATCATTTGGTCATTTGCCTGCTTTCTTTATCATCTTCCTCTGTTAACATCAAATTGTCAACTACTTTAAATAAACAAAACAAAATTGTCAACTACTTGACTTGTAGGTCTTTCTTCTTTCTAGATGGCGTGCTCTGATCGTCTTCATCAAGTCAGAGATATAGAGAGAGAGAGATTTTGTTTGTTTTTGTAGCAATTTCAACGCCACGAGATATATTACTTACCATAAATATATAAAAAGTACTCTTTATTTTATCTTATTATTTTAGTTAATATATACTTTTACAATACTTTTTATAGTTAGTCACATAAGCACCTAGAGATAGTAAATATTTATCTAGTCTCTCTTAGTTCTTCGACTGTGGTTAGCCCCTTTGCAAATGACACATAATAGAATGTATTGTTTAGCCTGTTGGAGCATTAAAATTGTGATTTGGCTGATAAAATGTGTAACAAACCCAATGTATAGAGCTTTTTGGAGTTTCTCATATTGTTCTCTTGCAATCTTGATATAGATAGATTTTGTTTTTGCTCTTCTAATTTAAAATAGAATAAATTATATTGACACCCTCTAAGATTTGATCCAATTACATATCACCCTTTGACGTTCTGGAAATTACATCCTCACTCTTGCTGTTAATAGTCTCATTTCACAAAACCCCTGCTTATATAAAATACAACAATTTCTAATAAAAAACAGAGGAAATTATATTAAAAAAAAAGTACAGCAAAGAAAAGAAAAAACCAGAAAAAATAAAGTAAAACAAGAAAAGATAGAGTGCATGAGTTCAACGTTTTCATTCCGTCTAAATAATTAAAATAATAGGGGGGTTAGTGTAATTTTCCAAATATCAAAAGGTGATATGTATTAAGATCAAACCTCACATGGTGTAAGTGTAATGTATCCTTCAAAATACATACAACTATTAAATTATGTTAAAAAATTTAAAAAGAATTTAATGAGTAATTTAAAATTGAGAATAAAGAGTATTCCATGCCCATGACTTCACTTTCAAAAGAGGTTGGAGTGGGTGAGAAATTGCGTTGTCGGTGGTAGGAGTGGCGAGGAAGGAAGGATGTGTGGTGGTAACTAGCAATTGGGAAAAAGAATGAATTGGTGGTTGATTAGTTGGGATGAAAGAGATAGAATGATAATTAAACAAAAATTAAAAATTTTAAACTTTTTTAGTTTTCACTTTTTTTAGGAGAATTTGTTTTTTAAGCTCTCTCATATTAAAATTTTATAATATAAATGATATTAAATATTTTTATAATAATTGGGATCCTTCAAATTTCAATCTAGAGAAATTTCGAAGCGGAGATATTTCAATTCAGAGAAATTTGTCTAAAATTTCTCGAGTTTGCTCACGAATTTCTCTATGTTTTGACTAATTTTGTCTGATTTGCTCACAATTTTCTTTGTGTTTTGAACAAATCAAAGAAAATTACAGAGAAAATTGAGCTACCCACAAACTAATTTTTCCATAATTTTTATAAGAAAACACCATGCTAAATTCATCAAAAAACTTTGTAAAGGGTCAGAAATTAAACCCCAAACTAAGTATGGACCTGAGCACTGAGATCGCCCCAAAGAGGCGACCAAGGACAAGAAAGGAACATGGGCCAAAGCCCAAAGGAAGTGGGCCAACAAGTGGGCTAAGGCAGGTCCGACCCACCAGGGCCCCAGATGGACTCCGTGAGGAAAAATGCCCAAGTCAAGTTGCAGAGACAACACCTGCAGCGGTGAAGTTGCGGAGGGAACATGTGCAGCGGTGAAGTTGCTGAGGCACTTTGCCTCAGAGCTGCCATTCCTAATAACTTCGGTCCCGCTGCCATCTGAAGTTACAGAGGGAACATGTGCAACGGCAAAGTTGCCGAAGCACTTTGCCTCAGCGCCGCCATTCCTAATAACTTCGGTTCTGCCGCCACCTGAAGTTGCTGAGGGAAAGATAAAGCCGAAGCAACTAAGTTGCGGAGGCAACACTTGCAGCGACCAAGTTGCGGAGGCATTATGTTGGCGCTGCCATCTTTAATATTCTCGGTTCTACCGTTTGGACTCGTTGCGGGAAATGGTTACCGCAGTAACTACATCCGCAGCAACTAAGGTGCAGGGGGAATATCCTACCAAGGTGATAGCAGCCTTTGAGAGAGGCTTCCCTCTGCAAGTAGAGGCTAATGCTTGGCGCTGATAGCAGGCCCCAAGGTTTATTAACTTGGCGCTGATAGCAAGCCCCAAGACTTATTAGTTGGAGCTGATAGCAAGCCCAGAAATACCAGTCTACCTCAGCAACCCTGCGAAGATGGAAGCAGGATAGCCTGAACATAAGGGACTCCCTTTCCATTAGTCGTACTGGCAGGACCAAGGAAGCCCCCTTGGGCTTAGTACTAAGGCACAACATAGCTGATAGCAGGCTTGGTTGTGCCCTTTGCCCTGGGAAGCTGGAGAGTTTGTGGTTAGGTAGATAATGGTGGAGGCTTCGCTGAGGTGAGCACGAATGAATTCGATAGCAGACTAATGGAGTCCTGAGAATACGTGTACTGGCCAAATAGAATTGAGAAGGCAAGTGTAGCGGCAAGGTTCACCGTTGCAAGTGCACTTGCTGAGGTTCAAGCTAAGAAGGCAAGTGCAGAGGAAAACACTCTCGCTGCAACTGCACTTGTTGAGGCTCAAAAGGGAGTTGCAGCGCCAAACACTCCCGTCGCAACTACACTTGTTAAGGCTCAAAAAGATAGTTGAGGAGGCAAACAGATAGTACACAGTACATGCAGAGGGACACGTGGCACCTTCAGTCTGGTGGCTCAAGGCAAAATATTCCATGTGATCCTCTGGGACACATGTCTTCTCTCTATTTGGCCACTTGGTCTCCTCTTAGTACCAAGGAAAAGCCTATAAATAGGACCCATTTCCCAAGGTTCAACGAGAGAAATTTTTGGGATTTGGGGGAGATGCTGCGCAATTTGGTACTGCAATACAGTTCTTTTTGAGCCACTTGCTTCACCCTCACCCGGCTACACACTCTCCAACTCCCAGATAATTGCTGTTGTTCATTCTCAAGCCACTTCCACCATTAGTGGACCATTAGCATAGTTTTGTCTCTCTAATCACCTCCCTAACCTTGAACCCCCC